TTATTACTATCAATCTCTGTCAAAATTTAGTATTCCTACAGCCTTACAATTTATTCCTACCTCTCTGATAAATATTTTCGCCAGGTTAGTAGATGACAATTATTTTCATATATAGAATGATTACAATGCACTCGCATGTGATACCTTTAGCTGAGTGTGATATTCCTGCATTACAAATCAGTACACCTATGATCAGAGATGGTATGGGTATTGTAAAAAGTCTTTGTGTAAAAAGGTAGAACAGTTTTGGAAATTTGGCCAAGGACGCCTTTAAATTCCTAATAGCTTGTTTTGAAAACTTTTTGGTTGTCGTGGACGTGTTTGATTGATATGATGTGGAACAGTCTACAAAATCAGCAGAAAGAATAAGGAAGTATATTTCAAATGGTTGTAGATCTAAGGTTCTTTGGGTCACTGAAGGCAGATCAATAAGAGATTGTAAGAAATTTCTTTGTGCATCCGAAAATAAAAAGAGGTTCATAAGATTTATAGGTGATTATGCACTCCCGCACTACAATGATTTTGATTTGCAAGACCATGACGAAATATTCCTAGCGGGATCTTTTCAAAATCTATAGATTGTGCAGCAATTTTATGTCGGATCTGTAAATGACTATAATCAGTTGTATATACAGGAAGAGGCAGATGTAAGAATTATTCTGCCGGATCTGTTTGCTAATAAACAGATGGTAAAAAATAAATTAAAGGGGTCGCATTCTATTTAAATCATCAGACACTTGTGTCTTTCTTCTTCGAATAAGATATTTTCTTCAGATGTCAAACATGATGAGTTATGGTTTTGAAACAAAACCCAAACATGTATCAAAGTTTGTCAATCTAGCTGGTTCTAATATTGACACATCTGTTCCAGTGAAAAGTCAATTCATCGCGGATCTATATGACCCATAATTCTCAATAAGTACATGGTGATCTCAATAAAATCAAGAGTGAAGTCGGCGCTTTCTAAGAATGCTTCCTTAATGAGACTACCTCCTTCAGAGGCATCATTGAGACAGCATATTCTTCGAGTTTTACTCTAAGTGTACGTCTGGATGAATGCTTATATCGTCAAACCACTACATAGATCACCTATGGAATATGGATATGAGGAACAGCTCCAAAGTGTCAGTATATTTTGAATCCAATGTCCTTTTGACTTTTTACAGGACCTTGTTTGTACATGTAAAGGAAAAACTATTTGTAGAAATCTTGCGTATGCTACGAACAGAATTTTTCGAGCTCTATCATTATTGTTGTCATGGCAGTGGTGATTGTAGCACCTAGCTTACTCGTTAGACTGTTTTAGAAGATGATGATTGACCTATAATTCTCAATGCCATATATTTCATGTTTTCTGCTGCTAGTGCTATCGAACTTGATGTGGTTGGATAGCTCTATTTCGGAAGTATTACATACCAAGACATCCACATATTTTTTTCATAGTATTCCATTACCTTTTCAAATGGACGTGCATATTGATGTCTAGTGTTAGTGTTATATATACCTAGACAGCTTCAAAAGATGCAAAATGTAGCGTAATGTGTCTGTGAATCGTGTTTGTTTATAATTCACATATTTATCGGGCTTTAAAATCGGGTTTAGTCAAGTCTGCTATACATTCCATTGTTTGTGTTGTTTTATAAATAGGGGGACACAACTTTTCAATATGCTATTTCTCTTGTACTGAATGACCTATTTACATAAAAAAAAACTTCATATACTATCATGTTCATGCGGACATACATGCATCAAGACAATTATTTACAGTTCCAACATTCTTATGGGTTTAAATAATCAATAATGAGTTTCATCATTTTTTCATTGAATCATGGACCGAATGTTAACTTTACAGTACTATATTTCTACTTTGTTCTTAATGGCATGTTAACAAAACTTTCCCAAAAATATATTTACATGTTATCATATATCATTGCGTAGCTAACTATAAAATATAAAAAATTTTGTAGATAATTTCTGTAGATAAAGATATTTTATTTTATTTTCTTACATGTTGGAAGAGGGGCTATACATCACTAATCTCTGGCAATCAGACATAAATACGACAAGATGAATTTGTGCACCATTACTAGAGCATGTCCATAGAAATTTTTTTCTCAGTTATCATGAGGGACGACCGAGAAATTGTACAAAATTTCCCAAAATTGCGATTTCTTAAACCCCCCCCCCCCTCCCTTTTGACCTTTGACCACAGTTTTCAAAAATCTGCACCACTTTGGCACTCTACGACATACCTTAATCAAAGGGTATGATATTTATCTCCGAGGTATTTCGGTCCATTAAATTTACCTTACTTGCCACCGTACTAAATAACATACATCCAAGTTTCAAATTTACTCATGAAATATCTAAAGGTAATATGACTTCCCTTGATACTTCAAGCGCTTTAACAAATGGCACGTTACCCACAAACTTGATTTTTAATCCTAACACCCACTAATACTAGAGATTACAATGATAAATAGAAAATAAAAGGACTCTTTGTGTTCTAATTAAAAATCCATCCATGAAAAATAGCTTCGGTGTCATTCAAAATCAGTTAAAAAAAATCCCAATCTATTAAAATCCTCAAATATCCATATTTAAGTAGAGAACAGAAAAAATACATTAAGAAAACATGTATCATAAAGGTCCAAATGTGTTGTCAGATATATATATATTTGAGTTGTAGAAGCTATGGTTGAAGCCTGGTAAAAGTATATGTAAATTAAAAGTAAAATCAAACACTAAAGAATTCATAACTGTTCTGGATATTTTCTTCAATTTCTTCTAGATCTAATTGATGTTTCAAAAGTTTGGATTTGAGAGTTCATTTTGAAAGATAAATTCCGAAAAGCAGTGAGTGTCTGGATGGGAGACCTTAATTTCTGTATTCAGCAAATTTTTAGGGTAGTTTTCTTAATCTTTAAAAATAACGCTTACTTTTCAAAATTCTTATACAAATGATTTTACTATTAACTTTTTTTTTATGAAATTAGATGATTTCATTATTCTGTACATCGTTCATTTCTGTAATCAGTATTGCATTACCTAGTTCTTTTATTTTCCATATGTATTATTTTGCTCATTTAAGGTAGATTCATGGTATACCGCCATCTTGGATTGTACAATCGCAGTACACAATCGGTCTAGATCTTTGCCTAAATCTACAAATTTGGAGACAAATAGGCAATTTATAGGTTAGACTGTTTATTTGATGAAAGAAAACTTGGTGATTTATTGCATTATCCAAAATGTTTAAATAAATACCAAATAAATGTGTTTTTAGAATCATTTTTTCAACTTGGCCATTTAAGGGGAGATAACTCTTTTAGTAAAAAATTTATACTGGACTGATAGGGAAATTTTAATTTTTTACTTGTAGCAAGAAAACAAGTTCGGTGACACCATTTTTTCTTTTTATTTTCTTAAAGCATATAATAAAACCTATCTTTTCATATTTTATTTCAAAATTCTATCTCATAGATTTCTTTTTATGCACAAAAATGTGTTTTTTCATGAACAATCTAAGCAAATTTGTGCAATTTCGTACGACCCGTAGCTTGAAAAATAGCACGGTGACCCATACTTTTTATTATATTTTTGGAAAAGGCATAGAAAAATCTTTATTGTGGCAAAGTATAAAAAAATTCTATCTGAGGAAATATATACCTATGATCTACCTTAAGTTTATTCAATATTTTTTGGCCATTTTTCTGTTATCTGCAAATCCCATCCAGACCATCTTTAAAAGTAGAAATTGCATTTTTCCTGATAAACGAGAGATAACTTAATTTGAGCCTATTCCATCGCCAATAACAAGCGCATTATGGGACGTCCGATACTTACATTAATTAATGTTACGAATGTCCGGACAATTCTATTGTATTGCTTCTTAATATTATGGTGTTTTAAGCTAAGATATATTGATATATGTTATATATGTAATATAAATGTATTTTTAAAGTGTGTTTTACAGTCTCTCATAACTCTTATTAGAGTGTCTATTTTATAAATTGATCCGTTAGTATTATATTGTGTTTTATATCAAATGTTTTAAAGAGGAGAGACTCTAATAAAGTATTTGCTTGCTTGTGTTTGTTTGTTGTATTTCGTTTTACCGTCATCTACATAAGATAGGTACGGAAACGTTATAGAGACTAAAGAAATGGCATTGTACTGTTTTTCATTCGGTATTTAAACATTATAAATCCTCAATTATTTGACTTTTATTATAGAACTTTAAAATAAAAAAAAATATTGAGGATTTATAATGTTGAAATTCTGTCATTCATAAACTTCTGTAGATAATCACAATCTTATCAAATTGTAACAAAAGATACTTATGGAACTAAAAATAAATCACCTGTGATATAAAAACAAGACAGGTGTTTATCAATGGATGACTGGATGCGGTGACGGATGCAGTTTCAATTCTGAACATAGTTTTATAATGATGCAAACTGTTTTAGCGAACAGCTAGATTAATGTTTTGGTGAATATTTTACAATTGTCAATTTTGCAAACACTTTATGCATATTTATGACGATGCATGTTGATGTTAAATAGATATATACCTTACATTGAACAAGACCGACACGATATGTCTGATTATTAGCACTGACAGGCCTTTCAACTATTTTGATTCGAGCGCAACTGGTGAGTCTTATGCAGACGGAACCTGCGTCTGGCGGAACAAATTATAATAGATATAGGAAGATGTGGTATGAGTGCCAATGAGACAACTCTCCATCCAAGTAACAATTTATAAAAGTAAACCATTATAGGTCAAGGTACGGCCTTCAACACGGAGCATTGGCTCACACCTGCTATCTTTGGTGATTTTTAGCAAGGCCACATTCTGTGGGATGTGTCACCCTAACCGAACAATTAATCCTGCTTTTAAATAAAAGATAAACATTTACAAAATATAGTTATTCTGTTTTTTCTTCGTTGAATTTTCCAAGCCATCAAGACCGACAATTAAAATAGAATACACTATATCCAGAGCATTTTCTGAAAATTTATTTCCTTGACTATCACTGTCTATATTTCGAGGATATTTGATTCTCACTTTTTAAAAATATCACACAGCCAAAATCGGAAAGTAGTTTAAAGGTAACGGTGTTTGAATATAACAAGGTCTATAAATAACAAGCTGAAAATAGTTTTCAACAATTTACAAGAATATCCTTAATATCAAAAAAATTATTCATTGTCTACCCGTTGTTGTTGATAACAGTTTTGTTACAATATTGCAGTTTTTACATGTTTTTGAATATATCTGGATGAACTAATATGAACATACATATTCATTTTCTATGATGTTGATGCTTTGTTCAGTGTCAAATGAAAATTATTAAAATGTAATACCAATTTTAGTTTGAGTATGCGACGCGAACATCCCTATAGCTCTATTATATTGACATTCTTTAGAATCGTTTTCCTTTATATGTTTAAACATATGTTCCTCCATTGAAGTCTTTCAAGATGTCCATCCAGGATAATTAATTTTCTGTCAAGCCATCCATCACGGATAATATCTGGCGCATTTTTAGAATATTAAAGGCAATAACAATAAAGTTCTCGAACTCTATCGCGCACCTGGCCTATTCTTAGACAAGCTGATTGGTTTCCATACTTATTAATACGATTGATATCACCTAGAATTTTGATATTGGTTTTATCGTTGTATTGCACTGTTGCTTCATATAAAGCATTACCTGGGTTTGTCCAAAAAGTTATGCGAAATCGAGTTTGTTCGGAAATATTCCAAAGGTAACTGCGAACAGAAAAGGATCGCTCTTTCTGCGTATCACGCACCATGTCGGAAAAAACTGATCTCGCACTGCGAATAGATTGCGTTACTACTTTGGCACATTTTGTTTTAACTGCTTCTAAAATATCATTAATTTTATCTACAACAGCGTTAACAGAATCTACTACACGTTCATCGTTTACGGAAACATTTTTTGTCGTATAACAAGGACAGTAATGTTCCGAAATATCAGCATCTAAGCAACTTCTAGACGACGGAATTTCACGGAACAAGCTTATTCCTCGAGGTAACTTTTGGACATTCAATAAACTATCTTTCTTCTGAAAATCTCCATGCAGTATATCTTTAAGAGTTTCATAAACGTCAAAAGCAGTGGTCATTCTCTCTGTATTTAGTTTCAAATTCTTGTGAATATGATTAAATCTTGATTTAATGTGATCTGGTAAAACAATCGTAAAAAGAGGTAGTAAATTAGAAATGCGACCGACTTCTGTGTTTTGAATTTCACTATATCGAGGTCCATGATCGCTCATAAATATCATGATGGCATTTTCAAGTTTCTTTGATTCTTTCATCCATTTGAAAAATTCTAGGTAATCATTATCAGCCAAGCCTACCATGTTCAGAAAGTCATGACCGATTTCATTGGTCCAAGCAAATGCAAATTTTCTCTTCAATTCATAGTTATCTAAAAAGCGCTTAAAATATTGCAATATCAACTGATACTTATAAACATTACCAAAACACAAAGGAGACGTTTTACCGAGGGGAATATTATGATGTTGTAAAAACTTAAGTGTATATTCTACAGCCAAACTGTTAGATTTAACTTTATCAATTGCCTGAAACAGAGGCTGAATGTAATGATGAGATGGTTGTTTTCTAAAGATGTCGACAAAAGTGGCAACCTGTACCCAGTCCTCTGCGTACATATCTATACAACCTTGCTTGGAATAATTGTTAAACATATACTGTATGTTGTTTATACCCACTTTATGTTCCTCACCATATGCTTTTAATCCAGTAAACAATGGCAATAAATTTGGATACGAACCATCACCGACGCGCGTATACCCTTTAAACATATATGCACTCAAATTATTTCGTAGAAAGTTTAGTGTTTTGGGAATTTTTCGTTCTGCTATAAGTCTTGATAGAGAATCAATACCAATGATATATACACTTAAATTCGATTTAGTTTCTTCTGCCAGTTTACGATTTTTAAAAACATTTTTACTGTCAACATTTATATGCAAGTTATTATATAGTAGTTTTCTATTCGAATCGTAACATTCTGCATGAACAAAGTCACCATCTAAATAGGAAGGTTGAACATAATCCATTTTAGACGAGAATTCAATTTTTGACTCCGAAACACGTTGTATATATCGATATTCACATTTTATATCAGAATAACCAGAAACACTTACGGCAGTTTTGTTCATTGTAATATATCCTTTGGAATCAACATACAACAAATCTAACCAACCTTCGCATGGCAAGACCTGTTGATCCCAGAAAAACTGGTCCACTGAATGGTCGTATATATCATACACTGGAAGCGTGCATGGTTTATTAACATTCGGATTTCGAAAAACATGAAAGACAGGAAGATTGTATCGGTAATTTAGGTAAACAAACGCAGACATGAAAACGATCAAATATATTAACTTAATGAATGTTCTTCGTGTTCTTGCTATTTTTATATAAAAATACCGCAAAACTTTCTTCACAGAATAAACTCCATATATAAACGACACTTGTTTATTATGTCCTTGTCTTGTCATTCTAAATTCCTGTAAAAGATAATAATACATGGATGATCATATTCCAGGGAGATTATAAGTATACAGATGATTACATTTACTCACATATTATATTTACTGAACCCAGTGAAGACAAATTGATTCGTACTAACAGTCGAAGTAGCTATACAGACACATCGGCAACAAGGAGCAGATATATCTTATCCTATTAAATTCCTCAAAATCCTTCGACCACCTTACTCACTATTCTTATATACTAAAATACATAAACCATAATGACACAAGAGGAAAGGTCATAAATTGGCTGAAAAACTTCTTCTGGAAGACAGACAGCAGTGGGCATTTTTTTAGAAACTTCACATGTACAGTTTGGAGTCCAGCAAGGAAGCATCTTGGGTCCGATTATTCTTATTTCATAAATGATCTACTAGGGTATTTGTCGTCATCAAATGTAAGACTGTTTGCAGACGCCTGAGTTTAAATGTACCACCAAATAAGAAAGCAAGGAGATGCCAATATTCCTAACACGACCTAAAGTATTGAAACAGTCGGATGCAGACTGGAAGATGGAATTCCAACCACAAAATGTCAACTACTCAGAGTAACAATATAGCAAAACATAGGGAAGGCAAACTACAACATCCTCATCCAGTTTCTTGAAGAGATTGAATATGCGAAATATAAAGGCCACAATACACAGATCACAAGTTGGAAGAAACATATTGATGACATCGCAAAAAATAAAAACTCCACAAGAGCTTTTATTTGAAAACGGTCCTGTATATATCAGGAGATGTGGTTGCCAGAGACCAAATGCATAGAAGCTATCAACCAAAGGTCGCCGTACGAACTTCAACGATGAACAAAACCAATCCTGCACAGTAAGCTATAAAAGGCCCAAACAAAATGTGAAACAACGGCTTGATTAATGTACAAAACAACAAACGAAGAACAAATATGATATACAGTAACAAACGACAACGTCTGAATTGCAGGCTCCTGTCTTTGGACAGGCACATACAGAATGTGGCGGGGTTAAACCGGGTTACTAGTCAAACTGGAATCTTATATATGCTGTCAGATGTTCGTTAGATGATAATTTAGTACTCAAGTATCGTCTGGGATCCGTCATCTAAAGAAGACAATGTAAAGAAACTGGAAGCTAAACAAAGCCGATGTACCGCTACGTCTTAAATGACCATAGAACTCGTGGCGTTTCATCAATTGTACAAGCACTAGATTGAAAACGGATACGGACTTGTACTTGGTGACCATTTTCTCTTGATGTCGCTGGTTGTAAATTTGTAGTTGAAATATTAGTAGCAATAGGTGCGTGTATAACTCTTATAAAAATACTACTTTACCACGTGGTCCAATTCTCACTTAATTTCTATATCATTTGCGCTTTACATTATATATGTGTGCAAAAATCTCTATATGATGTGGTCTTGTCTTTGTATCATTATAACAGCTATCAACTGCATGAATAATTTAAAGTATTTGATTACACAAGAAACACATTTTGTCCCGAATATAGAAAAATATATTAGACAAGCTTTAAGATTTATAAAAGTTTAATATATTTTGATAAATAATTGGATTTCTTAATCGACATAAGAGTTAAATTTACGAAAAACTTAAATATGAAACACGCCTTGGAATATATTTTCAACTACTTAAAAGATAGATAGTAAACTTAAAATGGTTCGATAGAAGTTATTACATTGTATCCTAGTAAGTACTCACCTGTATATATGGAAAATATAGCAAACCAATCTATCTTCATGATTTACCTGTAAAGTGACGCACACTTACCTTCGTAATTTCATTGAGTGTAGTTATTTCAAGGAGTTATGGCAAAAAATAAATACAATTTCACAAAAGTTTCATATTGATAAGCATTTCAAAAAATTAAATCATAACCAATAGATGTTTATGAGCTACATTTTGTAATACAGGTAAAGGTAATTTTTAATGAAGAAACAAAGAAGGAAGAAACTAATAAATCATCTGTTAAAAATACAATTTAATCTGTAAATTAAATTTAAACTGTTCCCTTCTATCAAACATAAAGTCTAAAAAGAAAACACAACCATTCAAATTTAAACTTGTATGTAGTTGCGTGTACACGGTTGTCATTCGGTATATCGAGAAAAACAATCATGAAAGAGTAAGTACTGGTGGTCAAGTATTGCGATAGGATCGTGAAAAGATCTGGTATAGGATCGTGAAAGAAATCTTATCGAAAAAAAAATACATACAAGGTTAATAGATAGTCCAATTTATTAAATTATAAGGACAAATTTTGAAAAAAATGAAATTGTCTGTCAAAATGGTTCATCGTTATGATCAGTATCTGAGAAAATCAGATTTTAAAATATCACCGTTTTTACAAAACTACAAAAGGCAGATTGCTAATCAACATTTCAATGACATAAAAAATGTAAACAAACATGATTTTTTTCATCATATGAATAACTAAATAACTATTCGCTTAACAATTTCGTTCTATATTAATGTTTCAAATGGCTCTTAAAATTATTTTGTAGTAACTTAATCAGAAAGTGGTGCAAAATTCCAATATTCATATAAATTTGATATTTATGATCGCGAAAGATCGGTACCACCTTTTTGTGATCGTGAAAGGGATCGTGAAAGATCTGGTTTCGCTTATTTGTCATTGCTAAAATTATTAAAATCGTTCAAATTGTTTTGTAATTAAATACAAATTTATCATCGTAATTGGTACAGCAAAAGACTGAAATCCCATAACAATTACTGTCGGTAATTGGTACAGCAAAAAACTGAAATTCCATAAAAATTACTGTCGGTTTTTCCGTCTCATGTTTATGTCGTATTATAGGCCAAGGTTGTCTCATATTATATCAATCGTTTTTATGAGCAGTATTTATATCTATAAGAAGAAGATTCTTGTCTATTTTTTTTTTAAAAAGAAGTATGGATTTTGGTAAAAACTCATTCTTTTTTTAAAACTCACAAATTTTGAGAAATGTCTTTTTGAGCTAGTATTTCAATGGAAAATGGTAACTGATTCCGGGGATTTCTTACTTCTTCTTCAAGGACTTTAACGAGATTAAAGAAGGTGCATTATGCTATTCTAAAATGACAAGCGGTGTCCAATTTGCGATAAAAACTATACTTTCATAAATAAAAAAAAAATAAAAAAGTTGATTACATCTTAAGGTGTTATGAATTTTAACGAAAATTGAAACCTAGGTAGTATAAGCCATTCCGAATTGATTCCGGTTTTAAACAAGAGTGCACACGCTAGAATGTCTCGCCTGTTTTACTTATCATTGAATTTATGTTGAAAGTCTGTTACATGAAGGTTTTACTACATGTATCACATAAGCTTAACATTGTCAATGTTCTATGATAATGAGGTCATGGTCAGATGAACCAGGCCAGACAGACAAGTCTGTGTTTCTTTTTATATATATATATATCTTTATTCTGTCAAACCTTTGCAATTACAATGGTATACAGACACTACATGACATCAATAATACAGACATAAATACATGAATACACAGAGCAAAATATGTACACTATTTACAATTATACTGATAGTATTTAGCCAGGAGGGCACACATGGCAATTTATAAATCTAATGAAAGTACACAGCTTTCTCAATTTAGATTTTATATTTAAATTCATAATTTTCTTAAACATAATTATATTTGGACGATTTACATATTTTTTATCAATACATTCGTTTCTTTTTACTGACATCTCTGTGCACATCATAATATAATGATACTCATCTCCAAGATCTTTAGAGTTACATAATTTACAATTTCTTCTATCTCTCTGAATATTTGTCCATCTCCCTATCTCAATGGGTAATTTATGGTTGATGGTTCTAAATTTGCATAAAGTATAAATATCACGAAATTCTAAAATATCAAAATAGTTCTCAAACCCAAAAGTATCCTTAAAAATTCGATAATTTAATGTCTTCGAACATGCTTGCATATTTGAAAACCATGTTTGTTGAAACTGATCTTGGAGTGATGTTCTGAATGTATTCTTTAACCAAATGTCACTAATACATGTTTGAGATAACCACACAAAAGATAATCCCGTTTCATTAAAAATGGATTCAACATGGTTTAACCAACTAAACTTTACATCGTTTTCATTTGACAGCTTAAACAGTAGTTTATAAATGGTCGCTGATAATTTAGTCGGTTTACCACATACTAATTTCACCCAAAATGATACCATACGGACTTTAATATCTAAGTTTATGGGATATCGTCCAAGTTCACCATATATAACACAATTTGGGGTAGAAGACTTTAGGTGCAGAAGAAGCTTACAGAATTTTAATTGAACTCTCTCCAGAATGTCGTTATTCCCAAACCCCCAAATTCCACAACCGTACAATAAGACCGGTTTCACTAATTTGTCAAATAAATCTAATTGACAACTAATAGATAACCCATGTTTTCTCCCCTTTTTGATCACCTCATACATTGCCTTTGTAGCTTTTTCTGCTAAGTGTTTTCTACAGTGTTTAAATGTGCCATTTCGTGAAAAATAGATCCCAAGATAGTTGAATTCTTGAACGATATCTATAACAGAGTTATCATATGTAAAACTCAGATTTTTGGGTTGCCTTCCATTACTAAAAATTACAATTTTTGTCTTTTCTACATTAACTTTCATTTTCCAGACATCCCAATATGAGTGGAATTTATCTAGCAATAATTGAAGATTTTTGGCCGATTCCGCCATTAGCACAGTATCATCTGCATAGAGGATTGCAAACAGTTTAACATAAATATCTAATTTTTCTTCGAGTGCATCTTCAATAGTGTTCAAACCAACCAAGTTCTCGTTGATAAAAAAGTTTTCCAAATCATTTAAGAAAAGTGAGAACAGAAAAGGAGATAAGTTTTCCCCTTGACGTAGGCCAATATTGCATGAAAAATAATCTGATATATTGCCATTATAAGATAAACATGACTTAATATTTTCATACATCTTATGAATTATGTTATACA